CTGCTTTCTATATGCTCTACAGAGCTAAAATTTTGCATAGATTAATCTTTCGTTATATGTAACAAAATTGGAGGGTTCCTTGGTCTCTAAAATAAACTTTGGTTTTTGGACCACCCTATTGGATACCTTATCATGCTTGTCACATAAGTCGAATTGAACGTGTCCAAAAAGTTTTCATTGGCTTTGCACTACGTCCCCTTTTTGTAATTTGGTTTCTCTTGTAACGTTGTTAGCATTGAATAAGATATCGATTATGATATTGCTCTCAAATCTTTTATCTTTAATGTTTTTCCATTACAGTTTAAAGAAATAAAGAATAAAACTACAACAATGAATTTATATAAAAGGTTACATTGTTGTTCCTAACAATTTTTATGTGAATACATACTTCCAATATGTAAGTAAGATCCTCATTAGACTGGTCTAATCGATCTACATTTTTCTCTAATGTCTACTGTTCAAATCTACATTTTTTCCAATCCCTTGTAAATAATTCTAATAAATATTGAGATTTACAGTCGCTGATTGCGAATTTCTGTTTTCCATATACATAAATAGCAGAGGAAACTAATTTTTTAATTTTGAAATTTGATAACTATTTTAAGTCAATATCCGAATGAGCGAAAAGTTTCAAATTCCTCAATGTTAAAGTCGAATGTTAAAACTTATCACTGAATACCATAATAATTTTCATTAAAAAAATCACTTAACCTAAATTGTCGTCAAGTTAAATATAGAAAATCACGATGAGCTGCGCTTTTGACAAGCGTTTTTTTTCACTGTCCCGAAAATAATTCACAAGGGATTTTGAAAACCAAAAATTGGATTTTTTGAACCAGTCTAATGTACACATAGACTTATGTACATAAAAAAACCAATTATAGTTTATTATATCCACTTGTATACACACACACACACCTATACTTACAATCAATGTGTAAATCACGCAAACCACACAAATGATGCCACTTATAACGTAAATGTTCACGCCTGTGACTAAAAAAAAGAATAACGAAAAGAAATATAATTAACGCTACATTAATTGTTCAGTCAACTAAAATAATAAGTGCAGTTTTAAAAATAAACAACAAAAAACATCTGTATTGAACATACATTTACCTTGATTAAATGCAATTGACGGCACATAGAGAATTATAGGCAGGAAAAATATCTGAAAAAAAAAAATGCTTGTAAATTAATTAAGTTCAAATGGCACTTTCTTTAAATAAAATCTTTACAAACCTCGTCCATTACAAACATAAATGAGGCTATGCTACGTACACTGGAACTGAAACGCAATTCCAAATACTAAAAATAAAAAAGAAACAATAAGAACTCTTTATACATAAATGATGAATAGGGAAAAACAACTTAATAACTATGCAGTTAGATTACACCGAACGGGTTGGAATGGTTGGCATATTTTCCACTTGAATTCAAAAAAAAAGACTTAAAAATATTAAAAAACAATCGTTTGAACTTGTGATTAGTGACACTGAAATTCATGATAATTTTACATACGGGTGTAAAAGCTCA